GCCTCCCCACCCCCACAGACTCAACCTCCCGAAATCAGGAAGCAAACTATACCTCTTCTTCTTTAACTTGCTTCTTACCCGTTATTTTATCACAGAATTAAGAAAAGTAACCAATACAAGATCCAAACTGTGCAACCTTGCAAGAAAATGACTGAACCAGAACCCTTGAGATCCCGCTTTAAGATAGATCTAAAGACGGCACTTCCCAAAGCAGCCTTCCCAGGGCACTGAGCACGCACAGATCTCAGGAACAATGGCAGAAACATTATCTTACGGGAAAATGGGGCTTCTTATCCTCACCACGCCATTGGTTGTATAGGGAGCAATATCCCTCTAATGTAATTAAATGCCTTATCATCTTGCCCACCCCCATGACCAAGGACTTACCAAAAGCCACACATGGGGTGAATTCCTAATGAGTTGTGCATCCTTTGACTCCTGATTTCAGAACATCACAGATTCCAAAGGCCCTAGCCATCCTTAGATGGCTTAGACACTCCTCAAATGAAATAGGGAACATGAACCTTGTCTGAGCTTTGTTTCTATTGATGCAAAAAACTCCATGACTAAAAGCCAGAAGAAAGGGTTTATTTCATCAACTCCAGACCACCAGGCAGGAACTCATGGTAGGAACTGAACAGAGGCCTTGGAAGAAAGCTGCTGCTAACTAGCTTCTTCCCTATGACTCAGTCAACTTGGTTTTGTAGACAGCCCAAGTCCACCTTTCCAGAGCTGGCATCACCCACAGTGACGGGAACCTCCCACATCGTCATTAATCAAGAAAATACTCCGCAGGTTTGCCTGCAGGCCACCCTGGTGGAGTCATTTCTCGGCTGAAGCTGGTGTTTCTGTTGACTAAGGCCTCAGGGGAGTTCTCTATCCAGCAAAGGTGCACTGAGTTCTTCCTGTGCCAGGAATGTGTGTCACAGGGGTACTTGTGATCTCTGCCTGCCAGGAGCTCAGACTAAGTCAGATGGTAGACAGCGGCATGGCTGAAAATTTCTGGGTAGGTCAAGATTCTGCCAAGGAAAGTTGAGACAGTCTGTCCAGTGTGGGGGAGTCCCTGGTGATGCAAGTACATGAGAAAAGTGTGCAGATAGATAGATAGATAGATAGATGATAGATAGATAGATAGATAGATAGATAGATAGATGGATAGATGGATAGATGGATAGATGGATAGATGGATAGATGGATAGATGGATAGACGGATAGACGGATAGACGGATAGACGGATAGACGGATAGACAGACAGACAGACAGACAGACAGACAGACAGACAGATAGATAGATAGATAGATAGATAGATACTGAACGCTGTGGCTTCTGAGCAATGGAATGTGTAGCGAGTCCCAGGAGCCAGCTCTTGATTGTATCTAATTCTAAGTGATTTAGGTTTGCATAGGTCTGTGTGGCTAGCAGCTGATGGCTAAGCATAATGAACCCAGCCAGACTGCCTCCTAGGACCAAATGGTGACCTTCCTGCCCAGATGACCGGGTAGAGGAAGAAGGATGACTCTAGGACCCCACGCTGGTGATAACACCTGGAGGGGATTCAAGTAACAGAGCTAAATCCAAGTTTTCTCCCTGGAAACAACCAGCAGAACTTGCTCGCATTGCTGTAGTAGGTGTGGAACTCAGGGAAGATCAGCAACAAAGCCTGACCTTGAGACTATTTAGCAATAAAACAAATAAATAAAATGAGACTTGAGACCCATAAGGCCAGTGAGGAGGTATGTCACTCAGGGGAGCAACCAATCAGCAGGCACAGGCTGCAGGGCCAGCGGTCCACTTGCCTCTGCCTTGCTTCCTACAGCTCACAAGGAGACATCTCATGAATCCTGAACTTCTGTGAGTGTTTCCCATCTGCTGCAGATGTTCCAGGCAGTGACCTAGGAAAGGGATTTAAAACACAGCTGCCCTACAAGCCGAGTCTCCTCTGCATGGGCGGTGCATATTTCATCTACTTGGCGAAGGAATCTGCACGTCTCTTGGGCCAGTTGTATCTCCTCTCCCCATTTAGTGGCTCTATGCCCATGACCACTTAAACCCATCAGGATCCTGCAGACGGAGGAGCAAAGGAAGGATTACAAGCCAGGGTGTTCTTATCGTCTCTGTAATTTTTCTTGAATTTTGAAAATCCATTTTAATCAAGCTGATTAATGATTTTGGTGTCAGGCAAGAACAACTCCGTAACTTCTGTGTGTGGTTCAATTAAGAACCAGCCAAGTATGTATTGTTCTTAAACCCATTTCTCCACAGCATAGGGACAGTGATGTGATTCCTCAGAACCGGGAGAGCCAGCCCCTACAGTGCTAGCATGCTTGGGGTGCTATGGAGGAGCAGATTCCAGCCTTGCCTGTAAGGGAAAATTTCAGAATCACTGTGGCTACTGCCACGTCTACACAACCGTCTTGGCACACACCAATTAAGAAGCAAGATCATCAGAGTCCCTGGTGGCCAATGTGAAGGAACATATAGACACAGAGGGAACAAGACAGCTTTCTGTGCAGCTGTCTATGAGTTCAAGCATAGCACGAAGCCTGGAATAAACGGTGCGGAGCTGGCTGAGCGCTGAGCGGGGCGGGGGGGGGGGGCGGGGGGGATTGGCAGGAATGTCAACCTTTCCCGGCCACTGCTCTGCCCATTATAAAACAGAAAGGGCAATAAAAGTTCAATTCTTTCTAGAGTCCTTATGAGACACAATGACCTCAGGAGCACAGAACTCTTCGGAAAACTAAAAATCAAAACACCCCAAATCTAAAAGCTAAGAATCCAAACGAACAGGCACAGATTTGTTGCCCATGAGCCAAAACCTCTGCTCTCGTCAGGGCAACTTTGGTCTGTAGCTTAAGAAGGTGAAGGTCTGGAGAAAGAAGATGGATGACCTTTGACTTCCTAGAGTGCTCTTTAGACCCTGGTGGACTTGTCACCGGCCAAACTCTCAGGCACTTCCTGCAGAGATGGCCCTCCAGCAGGACAGTCAACGTGCAGCTATGGCCATAAACCTCCTCTCTACATCACTAGTCTTAAGCAGGAAATAGAGAGCTAAAGGTGACAGGTCTGTATGTGAAGAGGCACCATGTGACAACATTCAGGCTGAGCACAGTGTGTCCTTCATCCTGTTAGGTGATTCCATGCTATGCAAGGCCTGGGCAGTGCAGTCCCTGAATCTTGCATGAATTATGCATCCCTGCTGGCTGTGTTGATTTCCATCTCAGATAGCCATAATGATAGTAATTTTCATTTTCCTTTACTGTTCTGAAGACCATATGGGAGATGTGTACGGAATAAAATGGAGTGAAATTCCACAGATGTAGTTCTGTAAAAGGGACACTGTACAATCCCAGACACATGGAAGGGACGTTGTACCAGGCAGAAGACTCATACCTGGGCAGAGAGCAACAGTGACCAGCAGGACAAGGCCATGATAGGGAGCTGGCCTTATAGCCTCCAGAGGTGACTTTTGCTCTGGGGAGTGAAGCATAGGACCCCTGCCCCTTAGGTCTGCCTGTGTGTGGTGGGGAGAACCAGCCCTATGTGGGCAGTGGGTCCTCAGCTTCCATGCATGGCAGAGTCACCCAAAGAAACCCTTGTTTGTTATGTGAGTGATCCCAACACCCTGTGCTTGTTTTCTCTATTAACTACACAGAAACCAAGTTTTGACTGAGTCCCTGACCTCTCAATGCAGTGCTGTGTGGTCTGCCTGGAGGCTGGGGCTTCCTGCAGTTTTATGTGTAAAACTATGTATTTTCATTTGGGGGATTTTTGCATCTGTGTATGAGTGACTCCATGATGCTGCGGGGTGGGGTGGGCGGTGGCTAGTCAGGTGTGGCAGGTGTCCAGTAGAATCATCCCCCCCCCAGCCACGCCCCATAGTACATTGTCAAGCTTCTGCCACTGTGGCAGGATCTGAATGATAATGAGCCCTTTGAAGAGGAGATGCTCCGTTTCTTTTTTTGTTTTTAGAAACAGTGCCTGGAGTAAGCTAGGGCTTCATCTTTGTGTGAGATAAACAGTTGGAAGAGGCAGCCTTGTTTTTTGATGAGTCAGCACAAGGGCATCTGCTTTGATGAGATAAAATCTACCGGGAGTGGAACCAGTCAAGGGTGTCCATCCAAGATCTGGGAAGCAAGTATGTACAACCTCTATAAGGTAGTTAGGCGGTGGTTATCCCAGAGTCTTAGAATCCTTCTCGCTGATATTCCCAGCCCACCCACCAAACCGCCTACATCAGATTCCCAGGAAATTCTCACCAGGTCTGTGAGAGTCCCGTGTGCTGCTGTATCACAGGGAAGAGAAAGCTGCATTTACAGGCAGCTGCTCCCAGAACAGCTGTCACATCCCCACGAGGGAGACTGCACATCTGGGTAGCACTTGGGTCCCTTACATCCTGACTCAGATCAGCATCAAAGGAAACTTGAGCATATCCAGCGACAGCATCCTCCCTCTGTCCACACTAGCCCCACCATGTGCTGAGCACAAAAAGCAAGAAACAGGTAGGTCATGTCTTCTGGAAGCTCCCAAGGCCACCTCTTTATCCCTATCACCCCACACCAGAATCCCAAAGATCTCTGAAAGATGATTTTCCTCCCTGGCCTCCCAATAAACCCACTATAAGTCTAAGATAGCCTCTATGTCAGAATGCATGTGATACCTGAAGAAATCAATGATAAACTAAAACAAAACAACAAAAGCAACGCTCTAAGTTGAACCACGGTGAGCTGAGGACCTCTTGTATCGCAATTCTTTTCTGAAGCATTTTGCCTGCTATGTAGCTGTGGACATGGTTTGGACTGGGAAGGCCTTTAGCTTTCCTGATCTTGGCCAGTTTTCCCAGTGCCCCCCCCTTGTTCGAGGTTCACACTTGCTGGTGATCATGGTAAGAAGAACATCAACAAGAGCAGCCAGAGCAGCAGCCAGGCAGGACCTGCTCTAGCCAGGTGGCGTTCCGTTACTCCTTCACTGAACTCCCTCCCGTCCTTCCCTTGTCTCTGCAGAGCGACTACTCCAGCGACACAGAGAGTGAGGACAACTTCCTCATGATGCCCCCTCGGGACCACCTGGGGCTCAGCGTCTTCTCCATGCTCTGCTGCTTCTGGCCTTTGGGCATTGCGGCCTTCTACTTGTCCCATGAGGTAAGGCCTCTGGTGGCTGGGTATGCACGCTACAGGGTGATGTTTGCACAAGCTCACCATGACCAAGGATAGCCAAGGAAGCCTGGCCGTCGTCTGCCATGAAGGGTATCTGCGTGCAGTAAACTGGGATACCCCCAGAGAGTCAAGCAGGGCTGTTAGGTGGCCTTACCTCCTGGTCACTCAGCTTTGACCTTGTAGAGGTGATACTGGCCTCAGAAACAAAACTGATGACCGAAGCAGGCATCCACCTATCAGAGGACAGATGGCCTTGAAAGGCTTGACCTTACAATGAGACTTGGTGTGTCCTTTGTAGGGAAACATCTGGTCCAGGTTAGAGATATCTTTATAAACAGTGAGCCTAGCCAGAAAGGAGGAAACAGAGTTTGTTTTCATTGGCCAAGGCTCATTGTTATAAAATATTCATATAACAGAGCCTGGTCTCCAATAGCCCGTGGCTCCATGGTGTGTGGGACACCCTAAGGTACCAATTCCCAGCTTATCTTACTATAGAGCATCCCACTGGAATGCATTTTATTTTGAAGGTGGTTTTTCCTAGCAAAGAGACCGCTTTTATATTCTTATTTATAAAGGAAAGGTATTTACATGCACTAATTAAAGCATGAAGTTACCATCACCACCACCTACTATCATTGTCCCAACCAGAGCAGGGAGAAAGGCAGCCCAGGGTAGCACAGAGTGCTAAAACCCTAGTGCTCCTGGAAGTTCTCCAGGTGGCAGATGACCCCTGCAGGAGACCAGGATACTCCTACTGGCTTCTAGGATTCCCAGGCTGAGGCTGCAAACTACTCACTGATATACTTGAAATAGCCTTTTCCTTGTTTGAACATGGCTTTCCTGCCTGAACCAGCAGTTACGTCTTGATGGCTTCTGAGTTGAAGTTTGACCTGGTGTGGTGAGGGAAGCCTTGCCTAGCTCTCTTTTTGGCACCAGCATGGCTCCAGCAATGGCCAACTGCCTCCATTTTCTAATATCCTAAGAGGAAGGGTTGAGGGCCTCTCGAGGACCATTGCTGTTTGCAAAAATGAAGACACAGAGAATTCCCTCAAGACAGAAGCGAGAGTACACTGGACAGGATGTGGAGGGGAGGCAAATGGAGTCAGACAAGGAGGGTGTAGCAGGGTACAGCCCCTGTTTTGTGCTGTTCTTTGGTCTCGGTTCTGGATGATAAGCACTAGGTGGGTGATCCCGGACCTCTGAGATTATGCTGAGAGCTTGTTCAAGGGCCAGCCCTGGCCTGAAAGGTCTGTCTAGGTGTCTCTTGTGAATGTGCTCTATGAATGTTACACCCCATGACTGTAATCAACAGTATAAATTTGTGCGGAAGGCCAGATGCCTGGGCCCAGGCGGCTGTGAATTGAGGCAGGCTCAGATGAGCCTGGCGTCCAAGGCTTCCACAGGCACTGCCCATCCTGCCGATATGGGCATGTGAGGGTTTGAGAAAGACTTTGTGAGATGTTCTTGGTGAGTCCAGTCTGCCCCTGCCTATATAAGAAGCACCCTTAATCTGGGTTAGACGATAAGTCTTACTAATAAAGAGGGGCGGGGCCAAGACAATGACGTGAAAAGAGCCAGCCACTCACCCAGCAAGTGCATTGTGGATCTAACTCATGAACTGAATATGCTACCAATTGCATCTAGACCCAGGATCCTGTACTTCATATCCACAACATCCTAGAATAAGAAGAATGTGGTTCATCTGCCCTCCTGGATGCAGGGGCATAGGCAACATCACGTGAAAAACCAGAGCTGAGATTTGACATCAAGTTTTGAAATGGGGGTGGTGTTTTACCTCGGGTTTCACTGGGGGAGGTGTCACCTCTTCCCACAGTATCAAATACTGGAACCTTAGATAAATGGTGTGGATCGAGGAATGGTGCCCTGTGTGTCCACACCAGAAGCTGCTTCTTCACATATTCTACAGTGAAGCCCCTGCCTCTGCTAGGCAGGGTGAGTTGTGGCCAGCACCTTTATCCCAAAAGTATTATAGTATTCAGAGTCTCCTCTCAGAAATCAAGTTGCTTTTCTACATGGTGAGAACCTCTTAGACTTGAGTCTCAGGACTCAAGGAGTTTAATACCTTTGGTGATCAAGATGGTCATTACTGTTCAGCAGGAAATACAAAGTGTACCTTCTGTACCAACTTCTAGTGACTTTTTTTATGGTAGGAAGACTAAAACACTTGCAGTGGGTAGGGGTGGGTCTGTGCTGCTGGAGGAGGAAGAGGTGCTCCCGGCTCCTCTCCCTCCTCCACAGCTTCACTTTGTACTACACTCAGAGAATGAGTTCCCTGCTGTGGAACCCAGGGCTGTGCTACTGCTGTTTCCATTAGAGCTGTCTGGATGGAGACCCCTTTGTAGGGCCTGTGTCCAAGTCCTATCTAGATGGGGGCTTCCATACTCAAACACTTCCCGGAACCTTCGTCCAGCCCAAAGGCTGCTGTACACTCTGTTTATGCCTCTGCAACCCAAACTGCAGACAGGAAAGAAATCTCCAGGCCGTTTGAGGAGAGGAGAGTGCATGGCACGGACTAGAACAGACACCCTCAGAATCAACCTCTAAATTGAATCAGAGCTGGCCTGGACACGCTGGCCTGCACACAGCCAGCTGGGACTTCTAATCCTGGGGCCTGGAGGGAGAAGCCCGGTGACTGCTCTCTCTGGAGGTTTTTTTTTGCAGATGTTTTCAAGGCCCAGAGTGCTCAGCTGTGGAGCCTCCGGGGAGCTACAGCCAAGCACAGTGCTAGTCTAAAGACAGGCTCCCCAAGGCTGTGGAACTGCTCCCAAGAAGTCTTTGAATTCCACATGTGACTTCAGTTGTTTTCATTTGTTTGTTTGATTGGTTGGTTTTTGTTGTTGTTTCTTTTCCTTTCTCACTAAACCTATCTTAGTGTATCCACTGGCAAGTCACCTGTGCCTACCTATTGTCAAAGCAACTCTCAGGTGACGGAAATACACAGGGCCATTCTGGGAAAGCAAAGCCGGGGGGCTGATTAAATCAGTCAGTGGTGAGAAGATTGAATCGCTGTTCTGGGTTTATAAACTTGGGCTTTTTTGGGTTCTGTTTTTTTTTTTTCTAAGACAGATCTGAGATCCTTGCATATGGGCAATCCCTCCATTCCTGTTTCCTGGTCCACAGCATGTCATCAAAATAATTGCCACACCTGAGATTTTCCAGAGGGAGATAGGACAGAAAGCACAATGGTGCCCTGCTGGGCCCCACAATTGTCCAAGCACTGTGGATCTGCAGGCAAGTGGCTCCAGACAGCAGCCAGGATCCCTAAAGCGGTGAGATCAGACTAACTGTAATGACAGACATCAGGAGTAACTGCCACAGGGCACTCACTATGGGCCAGAGACTGCGTGCCACCATGCACCTCTGCTAAAGCCCTGGTCCCTCTGGGAAGAGAATGCTTTGGGACCACACTTTCCCTCCCCAGCACAGGCCCGCTTCTCTATTGTGAGGCCTGGGAACCTTCATTTTGACAAGCTTGCTGATTGATTTCTTAAGCTCTCAGTGTGAGCCGTCCACTCAGTGAGCTCAGGTAGACTGCTGTCCACCCAAGGGGCCTCATGAGGACTGGGATCATATATATCTTACTGTGGCTGAGCCTGAACTCAGAGAGGTGGCCTGCAAACTGGGGGAGAGGGGTCGAGGATAGAGAATCTGGCAAGAAACCTGCCAGGCAACATTGTGCCCTGGGCTGTAACAAAGGACTTGGTATAGATGCACAGTGGGGGCCAGCAAGTGAAGGTTGCAGTTCACTTCATTTACATGGTGTCATCTGCACCCCCCCCCCATGAGAGCCAGATCTGTAAACCAGCTCATAGAGAAAGGCAGGGACTGCAGATTAAGTGAGAAGCTGGTGTTTCCAAACGATACTAAGGGTAGAAATAAATCTCAGTTTGCTGAGTAACTGTTGTAAGCTAGTTAATGCCCACACTTAGCTTCTTCAATCCCTCCAATAAGTCTAAAAGTGAAAAATTAATATCTCCATCGAAATGGAAAAGGTTTCAAGGATTAAAACAACTTCCATATCTCATAAAGGTGGCAAGTATGGGGGCGCAGGAGACAAAACGCTGGCACTTCTATCTTTTAAAACAGAATCTGCTGCCCCAGATATCCCTTTATCCACATGCAAACACATCCACAATCACGGGCTCCCTCCTCAGTCCTCTGCCCCCGCATCCCACTTGAAGAATGTGTGGCACAGGGATCCCCGGGGAAACATGATCGTGTTTGACTTTGTGGCCCAGCACTGTGCCTTGGAACAGATGGTGACCTGAAGCTGCAGCTGGGCACACTCCCCAGGGGACCTTGGGTCTGGATCTGCACCACAGGCCCTGAGGTCGCGTGTGCAAGGTGACTAGCGGAGCGTTCTCTTTGAGACATTCATTATGCCCTTGATTTCATTTCATTTCCTGAAATGCTTCTTTCCTTTACTAATGGCAGTATTACAGCAATAATTAAATGGGAGATGGAATTTTACGAATTTAGGAATTTTATGAATAATGACAGCTAAGGGCACCAGGAAAATGAAGGGGAAAGAGGACCTTCTTCTGGAGGAACAGGGGTCCTGCAGAGTTGGTCAGCATCTCCTCGGAATGTACCCAGGAGCCTACATTTATTGAACACACAGACTGTGTCAGTCCTGATCCAGGGTGCTGTGGTAAACAAGACGGGTCAAACTCCCCCTTCATAGAGTTGGCATTCCGGTGAATTCGGGCAGGGAAAAACAAGAATAAAGCCAGAGGATTACGCAGGAGAAAGATAACATTGCAAACGGATATGGGAGATAAAATTTAAAGGCGTGGTCACAGAAAGGGCTGCTAAGGAGGTGACATTTCATGACAAAGCCATAGGCCTAAGCCAAGAGGTGCTCTTGAGAAATATCCTTCCTGGCAGAGACAACCAGTGTTGGCTCTGTGATGGGAACCAGTCTGGCACACATGAAGAATGACCTGGTATGACTGAAGCCAGGA